GTTCAGTTTCGCCCCATTGCTAATGGTGTTTAGAGAACATCCAATATGAACATTCTGTTATTTCCGTGGAATTTTTATTAACATATAAACATTATCTCTAACAAATGTTAAAAGCAAAAGCTAGTTTGTTGTAAAATTTATGACAAACTTACAGTCGCTTTGAAATAAATCTCCCGCCTTCGCTACTTTTCATATAACATGGTTTAGTCTTCGCGAAACAAATATTCACATCGTTAAAAAATAACATCTGTACGTATATTTTTAAAAATAATATAATCTAGGAATAGATTTTCATATAAAAAGCACTAAAATAAGTACTTATAATTGTGATTTCGTAATTATCTCCTAATCTAATCATTTCCGATGTCGGAATAGATTCAACCGGACGATTCATCCGAATTAAATGTTAATTAAAAAGTAGCCAGTTCGTGTTTCACAAACATTTATGTCAAGTACGTGATATATGGTAATACTAGTTCCACAAATATAGATCGCGAGCCACTGAACTCTGTATCATGGCAAATATTTAGAGAAGGCAGCTAGCAGCTGCTAGCACGCGACATGTTTTATATGATCTAATACATTTCTAATGTTAGAACTTAACTAATTATAACTGTGACAATTCATTTATATGTATATCTATTTGTTGATGTATAAATACAAATATTTTACGTACATTATAGTACTATTTAAACCACTTTTAGTTCAACCATATTAATTGCTTCATTAGCTAAGAAAAGCACCGTTTCAAGTTTGTTTAATTCTTTTATATATCTTTGTTATTTATTTATTATGAACTATTCATACTTCGTTAACATTTGAGTTATAACAAGCCATGGTGTTTTCATTTTGTGTTTCGTTCAACTTTACATGCATACCAATACTTTATCTGCAACTGTCTTTGTCTCAATACTTTTTCATAGGAATAACATGAAGCAACACACACACACACAGACACACACACACACACAAACAGTTATTTTCAGATATCAGTGTATATTAATCTAACTTAATTATCATACTGATCAACTTATTTGACATTAATAGAGACTTTATCTTCATCAATTAATAAAACAATATTCTTAAACGAAGTAACGTTGTTGACGTATCGAGAAATGTTTTCGATGACTGGATATGTCGTAAAATGGACCGGGGAAAGAAAAATTGCAGCGGTGATGTGCTAATTATACAAAGTAGGCATACAAATAACCTTATTTATCCTGGAAGAAGTTAATATGCTTTAATAATGTATGTAATATTATAAAGACATTCATTACTTTTGATTTATCGCATAGCTGTTAAGATATTTTAAATATTACTTCAATATTTTTTTCTAATATCTCTTAAAACCAACGATTAAGATTAAACATACTTTACAATTAATCTGACGTATATAAAAATCATAGCTTTTGCGTTTTTTATACATAATTTGATTGAATAATGCTATTACGGACAATAAATTATGTCCTGTAACTTAACAAACCTCTTAAGCAAGCATGTTACGCATCCCTTCTATGTTTATAGTTAGAGATTGCATCTCCAGCCTTATAAATAAAAGCCTACATCTTCTAGAAAGACTAATGTTTAAACTCAGCATTAATTAAGACCTTTTATTATTATTATAATATATTTTTTCTTACATTTCCCAACCGTGGGAATGTATATTGATGGTGGTATTAGCAAAAATCGGAGTTGTATCGAAATGCGCTTTTATTAAACAGTGCCGTGGCTTTGCAAACAAGCTTTATTGACTAATGATGCATGGGATCCAGACTTGGTGTATTCTTTGTATTCTATTAACAACTTTATTGTCAAAAGAATAGATCGCATTTTGCAGTAACAGTGTTTTCGTTTTATGGGGAAAATATTAATCATTTGTGACGTATATAAATGCATTTATGAATCCATGCACATCGTGATAAATTGTCATATAAAATGAGGATGAACAATATGTGTGTGTAAAGAAATTTATATTAACGATACTTATAGTAATTTATTTGTGAATTTATCAGTCTTCCTGTGTACTTAACTAATACTGGATAAATTTTAGTATAAAAAACATGAAAATTTGTTCGTTAAAATACTTATTTTCGTAGTTTTTTTCGCTTGGTATAGTCACAGAATCACTAATACAATCATTTGCCGTATAAAACTAATTAAATAGGTAAGTTAAAAGCATATATTTTTGTCTTACAAGTTGTATCTTGTCTTCTTTATCCGCTTCGTCTATTATTTGATTACTTTATACGCTGTAGGATACATTAATTGACTATCCTATCTCCATCGATACGCCAACACTCGAATATCTTTCCAGCTATCAGATTTCTCTTTTAAGCATCTTACTATTATACCTTACAATTCAATTTTCTTTCCTTATTACGAGATAATAATTTGAGAATAAGTTTTTGCAATATATCTCTTCAAATTTTCTTTAAAATTACTGTATATAATGCTTAATATGTTTTAAATAAAACAAATATCGTTCATTATGTAAGTTTTCAATTGTAAAGTTACTGTTATTTATTTTAACTGGTACCTAACAATATTTATTCGGTGGACCATTAAATAACAAAACCGAAATGGCACTGCTAAGCCAGTCTATTTCTTACAGCTGTTAAATTTTTATTGTATGACTAAGATGGAGAAGCGAAAAACAATTTATTTTACCAACTATAAAAATTTTACGACGTATTAAGAGTCAACTCTACTTCTGCATCTTGCTGCTGGTTTTGTTTTCATTGGAATTAGTTGATTTTTATAGATGTCAAACAAGTAATATATGTACTGTTTAACATATTTTAACGACCTGTTTCTTAGTACAATTGTCTGCGGTAGAGTAATTGGGTGACAATGACGTTCTGTGTAAAATTTTGACTTTAATATCACAGTCAAACAATTTGATGACATGTTTATTGATATACATAAACTATAATATATTTTCGAGCTATATAAAATGAACATAATTTTTATCAGTCAGTGGTGGCCTAGTGGTTAAAAGGCCCGCCACTCATGTATGAGGCCGCGGGTTCGATCCTGGCAAGTACCTATGTGATTTTTCAGAGTCATACTCGTATGTACTTTCTAAGAGTATTTAGACACCACTGATTAACGCATTCCCAAAGAGGGTTGATGTCAGGCAGGCGGCCGGTCGTAAAAACAATTAGCCAAAACTATTCACAGCATGTAAGGCAGACCCTGGCTAAAGCTGAGAAATTGCCAGTTAGAAGAAGAAGATAAAATGAACATAATTGTTATTGCAGTACATTATAATTAGTACGTAAATGCTCAGAAATGGATTCATTAGGATTTACATTAGAAGATATTGAGTATCAAGACGCATGAACGGAAGTCGGTTTTCTTTGCTCCTTGGACGCATCCAACTTGAATATTATATCTTATATCAAAACGTACAATGCATTTAAAATATTATAAAAATCCCTTGTGGGAATCTCGTGGTTGGATATCGTGACCGGCCACGTCCTTCCCCAGCCTTGCTCCATGTTATTTGTATTCCCATACTGTTGTTATCGCGAAAGACACAATGGATTAACATCACTCTTTAATGTTTAATAATGTTTTTAATTCCTATTGTGATTCTTATTTATTGGTTGCATTTCATTTACTTTAAATTCTGAATAACTTGTACAGTCGATGCCGTTTTATCTGTATATATTATTTGTTTTCCATAGATAGCATTATCCCAAATATTTGTATTATAATCGCAAAAACTTTTATATTTTGTGTATCCCTTATCTAAGATAATGTTTGAGTAGGGCGAAATTGGGGTAAACAGTTAGTTTAGTGTCATCAATGTAAATATTTATGCTCTCGAAGATAAAGAAAGTATTTATTGAGATCTCGTAAAATGTGAGTCTTGGCAATAAAATTGAAAATAAATTTCATTGCTTATGATTGAATTGAGATACATTTTATTGCAAGCGTTTTTGATATGGCGTGCTCTGTTTTAATATTAGTCATAGTATTGATATTTTGTTCTACTTATATATTTATATTGTTGTGTGGTAAATGTACTGAGAATTAATAGAATATTTAACAGAATACCAAGGGATGTACGGACTTGATAAAGACATTAGTTATACTTTAATCTGATTGCTAAGCGTCAACCAAGTTTAAATGGTCTCCGTTCTTCCGAAACGTTAGAGATATAATCAAGAATAATAATATAATAACGGGTGCATTCAAATCTGGTTGACAATTATAATGGTGTATGTTTCCTGCGACGTAATGAGTACCAAATGGAAGGATAATTCTTAAATCGATTTGACACCGTGAAGGAATTAATTTTTTGAAGAGTTTTTATTCCAAAAAATTCCTATATGTGAAAATTGTATCCGTGCTTGACAAATACATGCAAAAAATGCAACAATAATACCTAATTTAAAAACAAAATATTTAGTGAATCCCAATAATACATTTGATATCGAAGTACAGTCATGTACAAAATGATATTATAAATATGGCTTGCAGTTTGCATTGAATAATAAAACAAAGCCCTTTCCAACGCCTCCGCGATGCGTCCCCAAAATTTCGTCACTGTGCACATTTAAATTCACGCGGCCGACAGATTTTCGTTAATATATCATTGAATGTTTTGAGAATTTTAATATCTTGTATCGGACAATAAAAATTCAAGGAGCGTAGACCTTAACCCATTGTTAGATTGGGATTTTAAATTTAAAGGATCTTGTTTTAGCAATGATATCTGTTGAAATTTTTGATTTATCGTTTCCTCTCGCAAAAAAAACTTATTGAAATTATTTCCTGCGAATCATTAGATAAGTTCGATTGCTTTATAGTTTTTACTTTATTCAATCGCGTCATTGTTTTATTCTAAATAACTAAATAATATTATATTGACAGGCAAATATTTTGAAGTTATTATTTCTTGTAAAAATCATTTTAATTTTTAAATACTATTGTACATAATCTAATAACAATTTAAATAGAATACCAGACGGTTAAAATATTTATATACTCACCCAAAACAATGTCTCTGGCTGAAACCGTGCATGCCAGAGCCACGAATGCGATTGTGACAGCGATTGGCATTTCGCGCCAAAACGCAATGGCGGCCTGCTTCATGTTTCACGAAGAAGCTCAACTCGTCTTATTTGGATCCATTAGCTTCTGGAACAATGGAAACAACATGAAAATAATTCTACATATTTTTCCACAGGTGTCCACAGTAATTTCCATGTTTTCGGAAAGCGTTCTAAATATTTAGTCCGTATCCTATTTCCCTCGATGATATATCGGTTTCGATGAACATCTGTTACATTTTCAAAAATAGACCTACACATACAAAGGCTATAACATTTAATACGTAATGCATGTTGCGAAGCTTTGAAATACAGGGTGCGTGAAAAGTAATAAACGTCAAAATGCATTCCCTTAACTGCTGGCCAGATAAGTTATTTACTGTTGGTTATTCACCAATCCACACCTCGAGCGCGCCTTATCTTAGGCATAAATCATAAAATATTTGAAGAATATCTTATATTGAGCCGATATTATTTTTGTCAACCATACTGACCATTAAATGTCAATTTTGACAGTTCTGATTTAAGACCGTAATGCATTTCAATTAAGATCGAAAATCGCCCTGACGTCATGAAATGGGACAGATTATAAAGTTCTTTTTAGGCTGTGAGGAATTTTTTAATGCATTTTCTGCATTAGAGCAAGTTGAGTTATAATTTTATCCGTTCGTTTCTGTACGAGAATTCGTTGGCTCGGTGTAAAATTAAACATTAAAATAAACAGCGATATAAAATGTCTACAGTTTTGATTCAACTACAGAGTCAGTTTATAGAAGGGTTGATTTAAAAATATATGTGTGGTGTCGGGTGGCGGTTGACAAACTTACTTATTATTACTGTTAAATGACGTCATTCACTGAATAACGCTTAAAAGAAAACGTTCTATATCTCTAATTGATGATTTAGCGATGTCACTGTCCTTTAATTGGTGAAACAAAATAACAGCTCTGAAATGCAATAAATAACAAATCATACAGCTCATTTCACGGACGTTGACATTAAAATTTATGGATATTTGACCGATATTTCAAAATTAATATCATTGACGAATACTTTGGTTGAAAATATAGTTATTTTTACCTGACAAATCACGGGTCACAGTAGTCAGTTTTATAAACCTAAATAGATGCCCATAAATATATGTGAAAGGAGGTTAGAGAAAAAAGTATTTTATTGCCTTACTCTGTTTTATGTTAGTTTTCATTAGACCGTATAACACGTGCCTTAGACTCATATATCACGGCGATGAAGGGTTAACTTCGCGTACCTATTTAAAAGTGGATATTTCATTTTAGGGTTGGATTACCTTTTTTATTGTTACCCTCGCAATGAAAATAGAACTTTCAACAATCTGGTTCAGATGATATATTTTAGGAGGTGGTTTTTATAATCTGTTATATAAAAATGACATTGACATTAATGATAGGGGGGGAAATCTATTTTTATATTAATCTACACTTACTGTACTGATATTTTTTATTTTGACACATCATAGTTTTTTTTATGGAAAAAAAAATTATCATCCTACTTTTGTTATGATTTCTATCATATACTTGAAGCATTTAATATTTTATTGACTCAAGACTTCATATTTGACACTCAATAATAGTTTATTTACAAGCTTATACACACAGAGTATTTTTTATTGCGTCTTTTACTTAATAAAAAACGCATGCGCACAAGACATATCGGTGTTAATGAAATAAACAATGATATAACAGTCGCAGGGCGAGGCCAGATGGCGCGTGCGGCGGGTTTTTATAAGAATATTGATAAACAAAAATATATACAGGGTGATTTAAAAATATATCAAATATATATTTTTTTTTATTGAAAATGGGGGCAACTGAGACGACGCGACGGCCCAATTGATGGAGGTAGTACAGTCGCCCATGGATATGCATAACGTAGATTTGCGGATGTGTTGCCGCCCTTGATTGGGGAAAAGGTGGGAAAGGGAGGGGAAGGAAAGGGCAAGAAAGGGTGGGAAAAGAGAAAGGGCAATCGGCTCTCTCAATCAACCGACGAAAAGCAACCATTAAAGACTACTTCACTCCCATTTTCTGTAAGAGTATGGTACTTCCTCAGTCGAACCAACCCATGTTCGAGCTGTAGTAACTTGACCACAGCTAAGCTCTACCTCAAAAATATATAATATACTTCTCACTCATTACTCATATAAGTAAAATCGATCGTGATTTGTAAACAAAAAGCATTATACCGCAATTGCTTTACAATTATCCGCCACTGAATTACTCCAGTCAATACACATCGGTCTGACAGACCGCAAACATAAATAAGTAGATGCGACACACGTGGAATAATTTTATGTGTACAAATAAATATATTAACGCCATTTCTTATACATCGATTTTATCAACTTCAAAATGAATATAAGTATATATATTCTTCTTCTTCTACCTGGCAATTTCCCAGTTACAGCCAGGGTCTGCCTTACATGTTAATAGTTTTGGCTATTTGTTCTTACGACCGGCCGCCTAACATCAACCCTCTTTGGGAATGCATTAATAAGTGATGTCTAAATACTCTTAGAAAGTACATATGATTCGGAAAATATATATTATCGTATATATAAATGATATCAAATTTAATTGTGTTTTACAACAACAGATATGAAGGAACATGAGAACGGTTTGTGGCGAATTCATTTCTCGTTTCTACAACATCCTGTGTAAGGAAACGCACGTGTACCGTAAACTTCCTGTCAGGATTTACGAATGTATACACCTTATTTCTATGTAATAAAACTCAAAATGCCGCCCAATGTCTTCATTGCAATAACATTAGCCATACGATTATAAACGCTCGGATTATTCTATTAAAGTCTTTATTAGTTCGACATGGTAATAATAAGTTTCGTGCGTAAAAGTAAAGAAAAAAATTAAAAAAATATTCTTTGTATAAAACATAGCCTAAATACTTTATAGATTCAATGAAAAATTTATAAATTTAAGTGAACTTTGTACCTTCATCTGTATATACCGCCACTTTCGAAACTGCGCTATAGGACCCCCATATATCATGCTTTGTTTCGCGACTTGTTTCATTCTGTACCAATAAAAGGAGTATTACGAATTTATGATCGTTGTCATTTCTCAATCTTTTCCTTTATTCTTGTTCATTCATACAAAAACACCATCAAGTATTGTACTGCCCACGCTTCGCGATAAATAACTTACATTTATCTATACGGACATCGCGACGGACGGATTGATTTATTATTATATATACTGGCATGGATAGCTTTACTCATGAAATACGATAAAGATGTATGTATTGGAATTGTAGAGTAAATTTATACTACTAAACATCCCTACTAATATTATAAATGCGAAAGTAACTCTGTCTGTCTGTTTGTTACGCTTTCACGCCTAAACCTTTGAACTGATTTTAATGAAATTTGGTACAGAGATAGAGTTGACCTTGAGAAAGAACATAGAATAGTTTTTTATCCCAGACTTTTGAAAAGTTCTCTTGGAAACGCGATATAACCGAATACCACGCAGGCGAAGCTGCGGGCGGAAAGCTAGTATTATATATATTTAAACAAATGGTAGCCAAATCTTAACAACATCTGAGATAATATTGTAAGATTTCTTAAAGAGTTACTTAAACTACTTGTAAGTGATATGCATTCAAGTGGATTCCAACACATTGCTACTTAAGTGTTTAGAAATTCAGGCTTGAGGCCTGCCTTCAAACTTTAAGAGCGTTTGTGGTAATATATAAGTAAGAAATATGTTTTATCAAGTAATAGTGGTATAGTAGTATATTGATATATTTTATATACAAACAGATATAAATCGTAAAATAAATCATCAATATTATTATAATACGATTAACATTAAACTGGTTTTTAAGACTCAAAATAAGTGATAGTCTGATCTATAGTTCTAAAACAAACAAGTATTGAAAATTGTTAAAATTCGTTTTTGTAGGTAAAAAACGACAATGTAACCAGGTTATTTTAGTAAATTGGGCTTTTGTATTTTGTGATTTCTTATATTTTAAAGAAAACATATGTCTGTACCTATGTAAATACAAGAAAGCATTCGTCTTATGTTTTTATTATAATGATTTGCTAGAAACACTTTATTGTAGAGTTACAACTAAAAATAGTGCAATAAAATCTGAAATAGTTTAATCTTTATTTCTTTACTTTAATAAAAAAAAAATTAAAGCCAATAAAAACCAGACAAAATTCGAACAATGGATGATTATGAAAATAATAATGAAGTAACTTTCAGAATTCTACAATGTCACAAAGCATAGATTTATTTCACTTAATAACCAAGAGAAAATTCTAAATATATATGACTTTACAAGAACCAAATATAATTAATTCCTTTAACGTTATTGTAAACTCAACTTTAATTACCTAGTAATAAGTTTTAAAATAACCATGACAGCTTTTTTTACATATACATGTGTTTTTATAATAAAATAATGTATTCGCCAAAACGCAAACTATATACAAATTGTGTGTGCGATCGGTCAAATCTTATACGCAATCATCTATTTCTGTAGAATGAGTACACTGTGCTTCGTTTAGACTTTAGATTGTTACTTGAATATCAAGTCGATACTAAATACATTATGAGAAAAATAATTCAATAAAACAATAAAAACTATATAAAATTAGTATTTAATAAATTACTTAAGTCGTGGTGGCCTAGTAGTTAAAAGACTGCCTCTCATACATTAGGGCGCGGGTTCGAAACCTGGCAAGTACCAATGTGATTTTTCCGATTCATATGTACTTTCTAAGAGTATTTATACATCACTGATTGATAAAGGAAAACATCTTGAGGAAACCTGGACTTAAAATTTCAAATTATAAGTTTGAAATCACCAACCCGTCTTGAGCAAGTGTGGTGATTAATGCTCAAATCTTCTCCATGTGAGAAGAGGCAGCTCAGCAGTGGGCTCTGATAGGCTGATGATGATGTAGACTTTATTTATATATATATATATATATATATATATATATATATATATATATATATATATAAGTGTATATAA